CGCAATCATGGGCAATGCCGTGATCCTGAGCATCACCGTGTTCCTGGGTACCACCGTGATCCTGGGTACCACCATGATCCCAGGCACCACTGCGATTCTGGGCACTGCCACGATCTGGGCATCACCGCGATCCTGGGCACTGCTGTGATCCTGAGCATCACCGTGATCCTGGGTACCACCATGATCCCAGGCACCACTGCGATTCTGGGCACTGCCACGATCTGGGCATCACCGCGATCCTGGGCACTGCTGTGATCCTGAGCATCACCGTGATCCTGGGTACCACTGTGATCCCAGGCACTGCTGTGAACCCAGGCATCACCACAATCTTGAGCATCACTATGATCCTGGGTACCACCACAATCTCGGGCATCACCGTGACCCTGGGTACCACCGTGATCCCAGGCACCACCGCAATCCCAGGCACTGCCGCCATCCCCAGCCCCGCTGCGCCCCAGCCCTTGCTCTGCCCCGGCTGCGAGGCCATCGGCGCCGTCACCCACAGCCACCCAAGCCTCCCCATACAGGTCGAGGTCATCCCCACATCGCTGCTACACTCGCTCCCGACCCGAGGAAGAGGAGGCTGGGAGCCTTCATGGGGAGACGCAGTGAGCCCGACCCTCCTGAGCCAAACACGGGGCTGCTTCTCGCAGGGTGCAGTCCCCAGGGTGGCTCTGAGCACCCACGCCACAGCCACCACGTCCATCCCTGCACCCAAGGGTGAGGGACAGCCCACGCCACAGGGATGGATGCTTCACGTGCGTCCCCACAGGGGTTTCAGGTCCTGAAGGTTGGGGACCGATCGCAGGCACGGGTTGGGTTCACCGTGCAGAGGGGGTGTGTGGTGTTTCCGCCGGTCCTGAGCAGGAGGACGTCTCCCAGGTGGCTGCGATGGCCAAAGGTCCAGGCCGTTGCAGGACCACGAACTCGGGGAGCGAGGAGGACGCGGCCAACGGGAAGCCAGGAGTGAGGAGCGAGTGCGGGGCTCGGGAGAGTCCAGCCACATCCTGGGAGCAGGGGAGCAGAGAACGGCACCGCTCATCACTGGTTCATGGGCTCCTCCTCCTCCATTGGCTCCTCTGGTGGCCTGGAAGGGAGAAACACAGCACATGAGATGAGGAAGGGACCTGGGTGACACCACAGCCCTCTTGGCAAGTCCAGCATCCACACATCGAGCCTCCCAGTCCTTCCCAGTTCACTGAGACCTACGTGGGCTCCCAGTCCTGGTGAAGATGGGAAAAGGTGGTGGGGACCCTGCTGAAAGTAGGGGATGAACCCCCACACCTCCAGCCTCCAAAGGAAGGAAGAGGATTTGGTCTTGGTGTCATCTTATTTGGGCAGAGTCCAGCACTGAATCTCCCAGAAACCAACCCAGGTCCTGACCATGGTGATGCAGGACCTCACCCCACAACCCATGTGGAGGTCAAATCTTCCAGGACCTGTCCTGACCCTAATGGCTTTGGAACATGGCCTTTCTCTGCTGTCACCCCCCGTGACACCAGGACTCGGACTCAAGCACCCAGGGACACAGGGGCACCCACATCTCCCAGGGTTAACGATGAGCATCACCTCTTCTCCACCATCACGGCCACCGAGAGGGAGGCCAAGGCTGTGACCGTCTCCACCTCTTCGGCCTCGTGGTGCTGTGCCTCCAGGAAGGAGCAGCCCAGTTTGGAGGCAAAGCGCTGCACGGCCACCCAGTATTTACCTGCAGGAGAAGCAAAAATCAGGAGGTGCCGGGGTGCCCCAGGTGCCTGGGCTTCCCTTGCAGTGAGTGCACACATGGGCATTGCCCTCCTGTGAGGATGATGATGATGGAGGGCTCCCCCGGGGTCTTTAATGCCAAGTGTCCCATTGGAGGTCATGGGTTTTACTGGAAAGGGGTGGGGAAATGCAAATGCTTGGCCTTTCCACGAGCCCCCGGCCCTGGGCCACTCACTCTGGACCTGGATCACCGCCTCCAAGGAGCGCACAGCGTTGGGGTTCGGTTTCTGCCTCAAGCTTTCTTCTGGGAGAGGCTCCGGCTGCCCAAGGAAGACACAGGGGGTCACCAGGGGAAGGGGCTGTGCCCAGGG